GGTACAACTGGTGTTATGAGTCTAAGTTCTGTACTTGGAGATCCAGTGCAAGGAGTTTGTGGTTGAAGAATGAATGTTAACCACAGTTGTAAATCCATTTTGTAAAACCTTACATATATACATTATAAGAAATTTTACCTTCTACTTTTCTTTTATTTGATAATAGTTGACATAACTGTTTCCTGCTATTGCTTTTTCTCTTCTATCAATGTTACATCAAAATAGAGGATTTTAGGAACACATCATTCATACTTAATGAACATTTATTTTTTCTTTATGAAATGTAATTTGTAGCAATTGTCCACAGTATTAAAATTTGAATAGATTTGGTACTGCCTTCATTAGCTCACATGTGGACGTGTTAGTGGAAAGAAAATCAAGTGAAATTAAATGTCTTAGGTTTGATGCTGTATTAATTTATATTACTTTAATGACTTGGCTTGCAGCCAGTGAAAACATAGCCTCTGCTAACTTATGATTTCAACTATTACTGTGATACATATCTAAATCTTTCAGTCAGTACTCTTCTACACACCCTAATAGTACCTAAATTGTCAATATTTTCAGAATATCATTCACAACTTTCTTGTACATACCTCCTTCAGTATTGGTAACCTGTGGCTTTGCTTCCTCCTCGGATTCGCTTGTATCACTCTCTTCGGCACTTCCCTGGCCAGGGATAATGGCCTGCAAGCCACTAACACCTTTTTTCTCATGTGCTAGAAGTGCCTCCATTATGTTGTCTTGGGATCCTGGCAGAGTTGGAGTCTGGGGTATATTTGGGCTTTCATCTCTCACAGGTAGTTTTGGTTCTGCATACTATAAGAAAGAAAGAAATATTTCAAATTACAGTTATGTGAAAACTGTTGAAACTAGTGATAAACCATTCATTAAACACCTTTGATAAGGCCTTCATTTGTCGAGGCTTATAATAAAGGTTGAGCTAAAGCTGACTGAAGAACATTGGTAAAACTATAATTAAGTTTCAGATGCTAAGTTAGGCTAACACATACATTGCTTTAAATAATATGTAACAATTCAAAGCTAGATCCAAAGTTTTTGTTTGAGAATGAATGGAGGGGGGTGAGACAAGTCTATTAAATTACATGTGACAAGTAAAACTATTTATGGAATCTACATAAAGCAAAATATACTTTTTTCATTATTTCTACAATAATCAGTGAGGAATTAAAGCCACATTTTTCTCTTTTCCTTAACAGTGTTAAGGATATTGCAACACTCAATTGACCTTTTTATCAACTAAAAATGTAAAACATAAAAGGTGTAAAATTATAACTTTTGTGTAACATTCTTTTATATAAAGCAGTGTTACAATGGTTTGACTGTTTTAACACAAGAATTTGAACAACATCATGATAATTTCCAATACCTCAAATATACATACATACACACATGTACACAATTGAAAAAAATTATATATCACAATACAAATGTACATGAAATACATACACTTGTACATGAACTTTAGTTCAAGTTACGTGTCAACAGATTCTATATATCTTCACTAGAAATGAAATTATAATGGTGTAAATTAGTTGCCCACCCCTTGAGATATACTAGTATCCAAAACAGTGCTCTCAACCATCCATATAGGTCTTTCTTTCCTTTCTTGTACATTAGAAGTTGCATTTGATAGGGAGTTATCATCTGCAAAGTTGATTGTGATGCCTTGTTCCATTCCAAGATGATAATCTCTGTTGCGAGTAGCCTCCCCACTCCAATGTCCAAGTTCATTTATTCCACGCGGCTGACTAGAACGTGGTTTGGCACCCGCATCTCTGTGCAAGAATAAAAATAATTGTTTCCTTTAAACTGTGAAAAAAAAACTTGTATTTTTATCAGCATGATTGCAATATAACAATTCAGCTCAGACAAAACAACTACTCAGGTTGTACAAACATTTCTATTGAAGGAAACCTAAACCATTTATCAAAACAACAAACTGATATATTTGATCTATCATCTGCTCGTGGGTAGTTTTATATGCAAGTTTGTACACCTATGTGCTTAATGTCATTACAAAACTTTTATTTTTTTGAATTGGCCAACATTAATGAATTATATATTGTTTTGGAAATATTTATGATCATAAATCAACTTCAAAACAGAAAACTTCTATTATTTTCAATTTTATCAATGAAATATCATCAGTCACATGCACAGTATACATACTGAAAATGGAGAAAGATAAAGTAAGAATATTAATCTAGTATCTTTATAAAGTATAGAGATATGAGAAGTATTCTAACTAAACATTACTTAAAGAGGGAAAAGGTTCAGTAAAAATCTAAACATAAAGCTGTCAAGCTATTTCAAAAAACAAAGACATCCTTAGGCAATAATGTTTACAAGAACTTTAAGTATATGCATTCATGTAGAGTAAATATAACATTTGAAATCACATTTAAATGTATCTACTACATATGATCTTCCATAAGGATATTACACATAACCAGCACTTTAACTTACCCCAAGCTTCTGTAGTTTTTCTACATAAATATTCAATGTGACAACTAGTTGTGAATATAAAATAAGTAGAAAAATTAATGTGTGCGCCCATGTACATACCAACATTACAAAAACTAATGTGTGTGCCCATATACGTAGCAACATTACAAAAACTAATGTGTGTGCCCGTGTACGTAGCAACATTACAAAAACTAATGTGTGCCCATGTACTTACCAACATTACAAAAACTAATGTGTGTGCCCATATACGTAGCAACACACACACATTAGTTTTTGTAAATACCAGCATTACAAAAACTAATGTGTGTGCCCATGTACGTACCAACATTACAAAAACTAATGTGTGTGCCCATGTACGTACCAACATTACAAAAACTAATGTGTGTGCCCATGTACATACCAACATTACAAAAATTCCTTGTCAATGGAAAATGTTCATTCTTGGTGTTTATCTTAAAAAATTTTCCCCTCAAAATATAACAAACTGATGCATGTGTATTTTAAATGTTTTGAAGTAAAGCATTTATGATCCATTACTATTTAATAACTAGTTACTTTACAGTTACAAATATATGACAGGCAACAACTGAAACACAATAAAATATGAATTTACCCACAATGCAAGTATTTTATGTTATACTCTATAATATCCCAAGTTTGCTAAAGGTACTGATAATAAAACAAGTTTTTGTGTATTTCTCTGTGATCTTCCCTAACACTCAATAAACATTTCTATTGTAAGTTTCAGATTCAACAAACTGTTTCTCCTTTATTACATTAGACAATAATCTTTTAACATATCAGGCCACTAAGGATGAAATTGTTCTTGTGTACAGTAGATTATGTGATAAAATGGGTATTATAATTAAAAATTGGAAATGTATCTTTATAGTTGTTAGAATATTAAAGTGCAGTGATAAAGAACTGAAATGAGAGAAGGTCTGTCTAAAATGTCTTTTATCTTTGATCACAAGATGAACAAAATATTATATCTTAGGTCCAAAGAACTCTTGAAGAACATAAAAAATATCATTAAAAGTCTGTCTAAAATGTCTTTTATCTTTGATCACAAGATGAACAAAATATTATATCTTAGGTCCAAAGAACTCTTGAAGAACATAAAAAATATCATTAAGGGTCTGTCTAAAATGTCTTTTATCTTTGATCACAAGACGAACAAAACATTATCTTAGGTCCAAAGAACTCTTGAAGAACATAAATAATATATCGTTAAGAACGAAGTGTTTCATTATGATGTAATAACATAAAAACAAGATAAAACATAAGAGCCAAAATCTGGAATAATGCAAAGAATACTGCTGTGAATTTATTTGGATCAAGCAGTAACCTAAATGCATATGGATTTGCTTTTATAACTCATGATTCAGCTTAATTTACTTTAGGTTGCTTAATGTCCAGTATTATTGTGATTACTCCCTACGTGGAAAAACACTCCTGGCCAAAATATCTGACACCTCAAGCTAATGATATATTGGGCCACCATGTGCCTTTATTAAAGCCTAGAAACAACTGGACATTGAATTCCCTAGTGTCTATAGGTATGTTTTTCAATCTTTGACCATTGCTTAATGTCACCTTACATTTAGGTAATGGCCTCTGTCTCCTAATAACTCATTTTAGAATCTCCCTTAAATTCGTGACGTCATTGAGATCAGAGTGAGGTGTGGACCAGGATAAATCTTTGAAATCTTTGTAATGAATTTTCTACTAATAAATTAAAGAATAGATGCTGAAAAAACACACACATTATCCTAACTAAAATTTTAGATTTGCAAATGTTTTCCTGGCTCTTTCTACTTCTATCTTTTTTACAAGATTATTTTCTATTGACAGAATTTAATCTGTCTTGTGTTATGGACGACCATAAATATGTCTTTATAAGCTTTAGTTTACTAAAGCTTCTCTCTACTGTGCCACAGTTATAGGTATCATAAGCATTATTCTTGATGCAACCCACAGATTTGGCATGATATCCTGTAACTTGTTACTGTTGATGAATCTAACGGCTTCTATTGGAAGCTTTACATCTACAGGAAATAAATCTTTTGCAAGGTCTAGTTCAGTCAAGAGATCACATCCGCTAATATCACTATTTTCTCGGTACCTTAACTTATCCTCCAAACCTTGACATGGTAATCTCAGTTTATTTTTATCTGGCAAATCTTTCATGTTATTTAAAAAACCCCATGTGTTATTGAAACTTTGTAACTGTTCAAATCTGTCTGATAAAGAATTAATAGCTGTGTCGAGTATTACATTGAAAACATGATTTTCTAATCTTCTTTCTGAGTCATCTGTATTTGGGACCTTGTCAATGCACTCATATTCAAACTGCCTTCTTTTTCAGCTTATTCTTTTACTTTTAAAAATGGGCTCTACATCTAATTCTGTAGCTGATGCTAGTGTTCTTTCATACCAATTTGCCCGATAATCAATTAAGTAATTAGTGACACTATTCATTAATGAAACAGAGGGATTCTGCATAGTTTTGCTGACAACATTTACTCTGCCTAAGACATCATACCAGACATTCATCATCACTAGAAAACTGTAATCTTAAATTTGTGATACAAGAGTTTCTGCTTCATGTTGCATTGCAGGATCAGAAGCAGGCATTTCTGAAAGTTCATAAAGAGCTTCTCAGATTCCTATAATTTTATATTTAATGGCTTTGACACATTCTAATCTGCATTACCAACTAGTCTGGCATAAAGGTTTTGCAGTGAGGCATTCAACGTGCTTTTTAAGGACATGCCATCGCCCAGGAGTAGCAGAAAACAAAACATATAAGTGCTGGAAGTGAATTCTCGGCAACTTGTTGCACTATCACCAACCACCAAGTTCAGACTAAGACATCCACATGGCATATAAAACGCCATAGATTTTCCTGCATGATCCGCACCTGAGCCCCTTAATTTATACCTTTTATATTCGAACCATTATCATATCCCCGACCTCTGCAGTTATGTAAGTCTAGCTTGCTCTCTATCAGAAAATCAAGTATGCTTTCATATAATCCTTAGCCTGTAGTATCTATAACTGGTTTATAGACAACAAAATGTTCCTTTATTGAAATGTCTTCTACATCTAAAAATCATATTGTAAGTGAAAGCTGCTCCACATGACTTATATCTGGCATACAATCTAAGATAAGGCTGAAATATTTGGCTTCTTTAGATCGGTTTAATATCTTTTCCTGAACAGCATTTCCCAACAAATTCATTATTTCATTCTGAATTTTTTTTACACAATAGTGAATGTGAGTTTCTTTAGACACAACCCAACGTAAATGTTCGTTCATTGTCAGATAAAATTTTCCAACAAGACCTAAAAAATACCCATTGCGCGGTGTAAATAATGTGTCTGAAGTTCCTCTGAAAGCCAAACTGTTTTCAGCTAAATACAGAGTGATGCTCATTAAACATTCCAAAACTTTACACCCAATGCTCTCGTTCCTTTTCCACACGTGACTGTATCTCCTTATCAATAGTTTTATTAGTCTGCAATCGCAGTGATGTCTCAACCACTTCTTAAGACATTCCAGATGATGTACTGAATTTTCATGTGATTTCAAATATTCATGAACATGCTTCAAGTCATTAATTCCAGATTTTCCTAAAAATGACTTATTTCAGAAGCCAAAAATTTTGCAACAAAAGCAATAAATTTTATTCGTGCTCTCTGAATAAATAAGCCACCTTCTAAGAAAATTTTCACCGTTGTTAATTTTCTTATACATCATTGTCACCGAGAAACTATGTTTATTTGCATCTTTTGGAAAACTGTACTGTTTATTAAAAGGATGTGGCCAGTTCATAATGTTATGATCAATTTCCGCCACTGATAATTCATCCGGCCAGTTTGTTGGATCATAGTAGTTGACATTTCTTTTGGGGAAGTTTTCAAATTTACTTTTAAAATCCTCAGAATTCCCTACTATGACATTATTGCCCAAGTCTTTAACAATATTGCAAATGCGATTGTGATGTTTTGATTCATGCGTGTAATTGTTCTTTCCTTCAGATGGTATAGTATCTTCAGTTGGTTTGACTTCACAAACATTAGATGACAAATCTGGAGAGACAGATGTAGATGAAGAAATTGAGCCTGCATTGTTCCCACTGTGAGACTTGGGACTGAAAAAACTTGATAGCTTTTGTTGTTTCTTGGCTGCTGCTTCTTGTTGAAGATGCCTTGTTCTGTTTTCATAGCCTGATAATTTTTTTGGAGGCATTTGCAATCTAGGAAAAAAAGTAAAAAAAATACTAAAATGGAATATATATATATATATATGTACACTCTGGGTCACGCAATAAGCATCCACGCTTAGCTTTCAAAATTCAACAGTTACAATACAGTTACGAAACTGACTATATTTTATCATATCTGATGATTGCAAAATAAC